TATCAAAATTGTGTTGATTAATAATGTTAATAAGAGAAAGTTTTTTTGAATATTGAAGTAAGCCATTAATATTTAAGAATCCAATTTTTATAGGAATAGAAATAATTGGTGAGAGAGATGTTTGTAATAAAGAAGAATTTTTTAATATGGTGAAGTTTGAATTTTGTGATATAGAGGAATTTGCAGTTTCTATATTTGAAGTATTAGAACTTAAAAAGATATTTTCAGATAGAGATTGGGGAGTTGAATATTGAGTATGTGAGTTAATAGGTAGATTATAGTAGTAGTGATAGTGTGTACTTAGAAGAAGTACATAGTTTAATAAAAGGTCAAATTGTAGGTCTTTATATATGTATGTTTCAGTAAGTGATAAGTTAATGTAAATTTTAATTGTTTTATTAAATGAATTATTTTTATATGTTGAAGAAAAGATAGTAATGTTTGATTAGGTAGTAATGTAGGAAGGTTGTGATAGGTTAAAAAGTTGTTATAGTAAGAAATGTTCTTAGAATTAGGAGAAGAGTTGGAATCTAAGAACAATTGATTAGTTTTGCAAGTACACTCACCATTTTAAGCTCGGCTCTCACAGCTGTGAAAGATACTGTAGTCTTTCCTGTATGTTGGGTCTGACCATTATAAACCTAATCTTCTGCATATGAAATCATATTTTAAATTTCATATGCATGATATTTTATTGATAAATTTAAATATCCGCTTCTCATTTATTTTTATTTGCTTCACTGTGTTAGTCAACATTTAACTAGATAAAACTTATAACTTATTATTGCTATAATTTGATTATTTGAAATCATATGCACTATTATTATTATGATTCTCTATTACTATATCAAGATCACAAGAGGATTAATTAATAATACCTTGACCGTATGCGAATAAGCAGAAACTTTGTTTTCGCTAAGTTCCAATGGATCAAGATATTATATTACTTATTATTATTTAATTATAGCATTATTTAGTGATCAATCGGTATGATACAAATTTTTGGAAAGATATAACTTACCTGGTGGTATAAAAAGATATCAATGTAATTAAAAAAATATAGGACTAATATAATAATTTCGAAGTATTATATATTTAAATATGGCAGAATTTAATTTATTAAATATTTAATGCAAAAGATTAAATATTATAACAATTTCGAAAAAGTAAAACCGCTAAGATCACAATTTATTTTTTATAATATTTAAGCATCTTAAAGTTATGTATTAATAAATATTTGTATTCAGACTAGTTTTTCTATATATTGAATACTTTCATTAAGGCTTTTGATTAATATTCTTATTTTATTTTCTTAAGTTAATAATAGTTCATATAATGACTATTTGATCAGGATAGATTAGTGGATCAACCAAATTAGAATTAAAAAAATATTATTACAGTTTACAAAAAGG